ACTCACACATACTGGCACACTCACACACATGGGCACACTCACACACACAGACACACTCATACATGCAGGTACACTCACACACACAGGCACACTCACATACATGGGCATACTCACACACACACAGGCATGTTCACACATACAGGCACACTCACACACACACAGGCACACTCACATACACACAGGCACATTCATATACCAAGGAACACACACACACACACACACACACACACACACACAGGAGAGCTCACAGATTATTTTGGCCGAGTTATGTGGAAAGCTTGTAGCCTTGCATTTTCTAAGAAGTCTGCATTATGGAGAACAACTAATTGGAACGAATGGCAGAAAACTAAGAGGAACTCACTGTGGGGACATCTTCATTTTGAGTGATGCGTTTACCTTCCTGATGTAGGATTTTATGCTCATGATCCCAAAAGGTATCTAACTGATAGACATTTCATGAAGTCATTTGGGAATAGTGTTGGGAGGGTGGTGCTTCAAGGGATCAGGACAAAGAGGAGTTTTGAACCTGCTGCTTCTGTGCACGCCTCCCCACGGCAGCAGAACATTGTAACTTTTGAAACTAACACAGACAAATCACAACCAACTTGCTGAGCTGGTGACTTTATGCACTTTATGCACAATTAAGCCTTGTTGGGACTTTATTTTTAATAGTGTCGTTACAGTGTGGGATGCTTTTCAGCTCTGAAAAACATTCCATTTAATAACTAGGCATTAGTTCACACAGTAAATCAGGCCACCACTAACTGATAAGCATCACTCCCCCGCCCCTTTGGCCTCATTGTGCCCCTGCCCAGAAAACAAAGCATAGCCCTTGGGAAGAGAAGGTTGGAGAGAGGCTTGCCTGAGGGATGATAATTCCATTTAGTCACAAAAGGGAAACTTTGCTCTGAGCTTTTTCTTAAGTATGAATCAGTCTATTTTATAATCACTTTAAGCAACATTGAAATAAAAAATATAGCATCCCTAGTTTCAATTGTTCTCACCCCAACTGCAACACATACACCAAAAGAAAAATAAGTAAACAATAGCACTGACTGCACCTTTGAAAAAAAAAGAGTAGAAATTGAAGAAATTAAAATGTATATAGAAGGGCATGCAAAGAGCACGTACCAAAAGAAATAAAAACAGATGTCAAAAGCAGCAATTTGTAATAGGTAGATAGATAGATAGATGATAGATAGATAGATAGATAGATAGATAGATAGATGATAGATATCAAAACAGCAAAACTGCTAGAAGTTTATGAAAGGATGGGGGAAGGATTGTGGGAGGAGGTGACCAGGAGTGAGGCAGTAAGCAGAATGTAAAGTGAATAAGTAAAAAATAAAATTAAATTAAAAAGTAAATATAGTGAAGAAAGATAGAAATGTGGAGAGTGAATAAAAGACTAAATGAAGGTCCGATCTTTGCTTAAAAAACATACTTCATTTTAGAATGAGGAACTTCTGTAGTTTAAATAGGGTTTGAGTTCTTTACAGGCATTACCTGAGGTATTATCATGAAAAATAAAAGGGTTGGGTTTTTATTTTTCACTTTTTAATAAATGAGCATGATTTAAACCTAAGTTTTATTTAGAATAAATGATGGATAGATTGAGATGACCAGACAAGTTGACTGCACAGTTACCCCTTTCTGTTAACAAGATGGAGTGCCCTTCCTGCTGGCCTTGAACTCCCTGAGAACTGCCTGCCTCTGCCTCCCAATAATTGGGATTAACGACATGTTTCACCACACTCAGCTCCAATACTCTCTTTTTAGGAAGCAGCTCACCAGGTAATAAGTGCCACAGTTAAGTATGCAAGATGGAAATTGAGTTTGAATTTCTTGATTAAAAATCACTTTTGTGTAGATTATAAGGCATACCATAACTGTTTCACTTCATGGGTGGTCTGAATGAGATACCTTCCATATACTGGGGCATTTCAATGCTTGGCTCCCAGTTGTTCTGTTTGGGAGGTTTAGGAGGTATAACTTTGCTGATAGAAATCAGCCATTGGCTATTTCCTAGTTTGTTCTTTCTACATCATGTTTGCAGTTGAAGATGAGAGCTCTTAGTTGTTTGTGCCTCCATACCTGGTGCTTGCTGCAGTGTTCCTGGTATGTAATTGTGATGGATTCTTAACCATCTGGAATCCCAAGTCTCAACCCTTCTTCGCATAAGTTGTGTTGGCCATGGTGTTTTGTCACAGAGATGGAAAAGAAAGTAACATAAAAGTAACAAGCACTCTTTCTATTTTGCTTCTTCAAGAGAATTTTGGAAATGACATAGTGTTAGAGTGATGGCTCTTTCAGAGAACTTGTTTGGTTCCCAGCGTCCACTTCTGACATCTCACATCTGCCTGTAATTTCAGCTCCAGGGTATCTGACATCTTCTGGCCTCTTTGGTACCTGAACACATGACACATGTGTGCACATGAACAGGACATTCACACACACACACACACACACACACACACACACAGATTAATAAAAAAATTAAAATAAATCTTAAAGTTTTTCATTAATGGATACCTTGTGAAAAGGCAAATGTAACGACAACCAAGAAACGTTCATTGAAAAGAAATGGAGACTAAGGGAGACCCTTGACGGCCATCTTCATCACAGGTGAACAGGTGAATATGAGCCTGCAGGGAAGGTTTGTTTCTGAAGGCTGAAGAATTTGTTAATTAATTGCACCTGCTGAGAACTTCTAGCGCAGTAGAAGTTCTCATTCTACTGCTCCTGTGCTGACATGCTTTTTGCATAATACCTTGGTTGCATAATACCAAGTCCGAAGAAGCTCCAGCAGAACTCCATTACTTTTGGAGGGCTATTTTTGCAAGGATGAGTAGCGTAAAGGCAACCCACTTCCAATCCCTGAGCAAACTGGCCATTTCTAATCCACCACTGGCTTTGCTGAGTGGCTCAAACTACCAGAGCAGTCAGGCAGCAGCCAGCCCGGCCCTGGCCCCGCCCTTCTCCAGGCCCCGCCTTGTCGCCAGGCCCCGCCCCGCTCCGGGCCTCGGTCTTCCTTCCGGGTCGCGCTGGGCCGGGCTCGCCGCCGCGGCAGCAGCACGGGATACTGGGAGCAGCCTCCTGCTGCCCACGCCGCGGGCTTGTGGCGAAGCTCTGCTCGCCCAGTCCCGGACCCTGCAGGGTACGGCGCTTTCTTCCTTCCTCCCTCCTCAAGGTCTCCGACGTCCCCCCTCGGCGTGGGCGGGGCCGGGCGCGCGCCACTCTGGGGAGCGCGGGGCGGAGGCTCTGGGTCTACGCTTGCCTAAGGTGCTGCTTTGCTGTGCTGGCGGAGACCGGACGTGGGTGCTGCCGCCTCTTGTCGGGACTCCCTTGGGCCTGGCACGCTCACGGCGAGCTGCGGACACTGGGCCTGCAAGGCTGCGCAGCCCTGACTTCCCTCTCACGCGGGAAGGTTTCTGTCCTGTCCTGGCAGGCTCAAGCCACGAGATGCCAGGCTGCAACCTTTTTTCCATCGTCCGGGGTGGGCCCAGCCACTTGTCACTATGTTTTGCGATGGGGTTGTTTCTGCAGTTTCTCGGTTTCCCAAGTGCTCTTAGTCCCAGAGCTTTTGCTAATCAGTTCTACTTGCAATCCACAAAGCATTAGGAAGTTAGCTGGCTGTGACCCTTCGGTCTGCTCTGTTGGGAGCCACCTGCTCCCTCTGCTTCCTGCGTACACTCTCTGGTCCTAAGACAGGCACACTGTCCTTCATAATCAGTGAGTGTAGGGTTCCTCGCACTCCTCTGTCTTGGAGAAAGTTCTTGGGTGGAAGTGCAGTCTTATCTAGTGGCGCTAAGTATTAGGCAATCTTGAGTATTCATGGAATTCCATTATTTCCAGACTTGACTTGCATACCAATTTAAAAAATTCCTGTCCCACGTTTTGACTCTTTTGAACCCTGTTCTGTCTTTGATTTTAAAGTCAGAGAGGTCAGGGTCTAAGACCATGATTGTCAGTGATCTTGCTGTGAGTATCTTACAGTGTTGTTTACAGCTGTTTTGCTTCCAAATATGGTCACTGAATAGAATCTTCCTGGCCTTTCTTTATCAAGTCAGTCTTATTGCCCAGTCCACTCAGTTTTGGAGTAGTTAGTATTTGCCATCTTTGCTGATCTGACTTTGGTCTTTCAGAATGTGAATTGTGAATACCCCCACCACTCTCCGTGCACGAGCCCCATGGTTTGTTGTCTTACTCAATTTTGGTGTGAGATAAATAATGCTGTACCTTCTTGGTTATTACCAGCCAGTGACTTTATCGTAATTTGTTGAGTTCTGTTCTTTTTCTTCTTGGCAAGTGCTTGAATACGGTGGACACTTGTGCCTGTGTATTCTCGAGACTTTCTGAACTGATAGCGGTGACCTACTTCCTGGGGTAATGCCATGCTGCTCCTGTTACTCCGGCTTTACAGTGTGTAGTGATTCGAACCTTGACTGGAATATTGTGAACACCACTGGATATTTTTGTAATGAACATTTAGTTGGGGGCAAGTTGGATTCCTTATGTGTTTGAGTGTTAGTTGAGATGGAGCTCACTAGGTAGCCTTGGCTGGGCTCTCTTAGAGGCCTTGTTGCCCCTGGCTCCTCAGACCTGGGGTTAAAGGTGATATAGCACTGCACTCAGTTGAATTCCCTTGTGTCTTGCCCCTCCCCCTAAAATGCCTTGCCAGTTTTTGAAATTTGTAAATTTGCCTTCCCTTTGGTCAGTTGAATTAATGGCTGTTAGTAAATAAACCCTCTTTTTGCTCACTCAGTTCACCCTGGAGAGTAGTTCCACACGGAAGCTGATTCACAGTCTGCACATCTGTTGACTTGGGATCTTGTCTTCATGTGTGTAGTGTGTCAGCCTTTATCAGTGATAGCATACAACATTCTATGCCTGCTTACAGCCCAGGCGAGCTCAATGCGCCTCTCAGATATCCCCTTGAGTTTCATCATTCCAACACGGTATCCCAAACAGAATCAATTTCCTGTGTTGATATAGTAGATGTGTACGTAATCATCACTGCTTAGTATTTTGTTCTTTCGAGATATAAATGTGTGTAAGTGTGTTTCATATAGCCTGTGGTATAGCTTTCTGCAGCTTCTACTTAGTAATAATCACTGATGAGTGTGTTTTTATATAGATACACATGACGTCTTATCTTTTAAAGGCCTTTTGGTTCATTATTGTAGGAGCAACCTACCATTGAGCCAGTCCTCTCTTGGTATTTAGAATACTACACATTTATTTCTGTTATAATTGAAATTATTGAGTCATTTCTGCATGTGAATAGCTGTTTTTTTGTTTCCTATGTCTCTTTGCTTGGTGTCAGTTAGTCTTAGTTTGAAGATATTAAGTGGAAAATTCCAAGAGTAAACAGTTTGTAAGTTTTAAACCCTGCGCTATTCTGAGTAGTGTAATGAAAGTATATCCCTTCCTGATCTGTGAACTATATCTTTTTCTAGTCTAGCTACATATGTCCATGTATACATATGTCCATATATACATATGTCTAGTCCATATGCACATTACATATTAAGTAACAGACATGGCTATCAGATCAACTGTGTTCAACTACCTTTTTTTTTTTTTAATTTAATGTTGCCAAATTTGGATCAAGAGTACTGACTTTAGAAATGCAAGCATGCCAAAGAGAAGCCAGCCATTGGGTACTTCCCTTATGATTATGTATGTATGGGGAGTGCGTATGTATATAAAAAAGCATAGTCTACCTAGGATTCTCTGCTATCCATGGACCACAGTGGGATTTCAAAATATCTCCTGGTGATTGAGGGACATTATTGTATGTAGTGCATATTTGTGTATTTTCTTGCAAATGATTACATCATTGGGTGAAAGAGTATTTAATAACTTTTAAATTTGCAGATATTCTTCCATAGTACCCTTTAATACTACGTTGATAAGGAGACTAGGGAGATGGGTTGGTGCTTCAGAGTGTTTGTTGCTTTTACAGGAGACCTGAGTTTGGTTTCCAGCATTCACAACTACCTGCATCTCCAGTTCCAAGAGGTCCAGTGCCCTCTTCTAACCTCTGTAGATACCAGATAAGCACATGGTACACATACATACATGCAGTCAAAATACTCACACGCACAAAACATATAAATCTAAAACAGTAAATTTTAAAAACAATTATTAGCACCCAATATATACAATTTATAATACTGCTTTTGTCATATTGTTGTAAAGAATGATCTAAGTTTGTGATTACGTCCTACTTGGAAGCCAAGAGTCTGTGGATAGTTTTGGAAGGCATGGGACTCCTGAATCAGAGACAGAGCAATTGTCAAACTGTGTCATTTTGTGCCATCCATAGGGTGATTTGACAATGGCCACATGACACTAGCACATATAGTCATCATCTGTGTTAAAAGGGGAGAATCCTGAGTCTTTCATAGTGAGCTATAAGTAAACCTACCTGCCTTTTGGCTGAAGATGGAGCCATGATGGTTGTTTTCCTGGATAGTTAACAAAACTGTGTGCTCTTAATTCCTAGGGAGATTTCTTTTATCTACCAAGGCCATTTGCTATAAAAGCCTTGTGTTTTAGACATGGATAAATACACCTGAATGTTGAAATAATGATCATTTTTTTTTGGTAGTTTGGAGATGAAAAATGCTATCTTACTATTATTTTAATTTTGCGTTTCTTTGCCTATTTATAAGGTTGAGTAACTGTATTTCTTTTCTCATCATTTGAATTTTTGTTATGTATCAAACCCTTTGTTTATTTTTTATGTACTCCTCTTTTATTGACTTAATATGCCTCTATATATTGGGCCATTAAGATTTGACAAACCATTCATTAGCATTTTTCTCAGTATTGTTTCCTTTGATTTTAATTTGTGTTTATGTGTATTGCTCCATGTATGCACCTGTGTGTGGGTACCTGCAGGGGCAAGAAGAGGATGTTCCATTCTTCCTCTGGAGTTGGAGTTATAGGCAGTTGAGAGCTACCTGGGGTAGGTCTTGGGAACTGAAGTCAGGTCCTTGAGAGATCAGTAAGCATCTTAACCACTGAACCATCTCTTCAATCCTTACTGGTTCTCTTAATGTTGGTTCTGAGTGCTTTTGCTTATAAATATCTTGATTATATTTTTCTTGAAACTCATAATTTTAATGCAATTTAATATAATTTTTATATATTTTCTTAGGATATGCATTTTCTTGGAATGCAAATTTTGACCTAGAGCGAATTTAAAAGAGTTATGCCATTTTAGTTATCACAGACCTATGATATTAAACATGAATTTTTGCTAGGCAGGATATCTATAAATCTTCCATTTTTTTTAAAGGGAAGTGAATGTACTCTGCTGTATAAAAATGGATATATAGTATTTGGTTAAATTAAATGCATATAGTTAGAATGGTTTTAACAGTTGGGGGTGCTGGGTTTTTTTTTCTTTCTTTGTCTTCAACCTCACATGCCTAGATTTTAGTTTCTCTCTCTCTCTCTCTCTCTCTCTCTCTCTCTCTCTCTCTCTCTCTGTGTGTGTGTGTGTGTGTGTGTGTGTGAAAAATTCAGGGTTCTTGCCCTACCTTGGGATTTATCCCATGTGCAGACACCAAACCCTGGCATGACTGCTGATGCCAAGATGTGCTTGCAGACAGGAGCCTGGCATGGATGTCCTCCAAGAGGCTCTGCCAGCACCTGACTAAGCAGATATAGATGCTCATAGCCAACCATTGGACTGAGCTCGGGGACCCCAATGGAAGAGTTAGGGGGAGGACTGAAGGAGCTGAAGGGGATTGTAACCCCATAGGAAGAACAACAATATAAACTAATCAGACCCCTCAGATCTCCCAGGGACTAAGACACTGACCAAATAGCATATATGAGCCAGTCTGTGGCTCTCAATACATATGTAGCGTAGGACTGCCTTCTCTGGCTTCAGTGGGAGGGGATATGTCTGGTCCTGTAGAGGTTTGATGCCCCAGAGAAGGGGGATGCTAGAGAGGTGAAATGGGAGTGGGTGGATGGATGAGTAGGCACCCTCATAGAGGCAAAGGGGGGGCATGGGGTGGGGAGTTTGTGCAGAGGGACCAGGAAGGGAAACATTTGAAATGTAAATAAAATAATTAATAAGAAATAATATATATATATGTATATATATATATATATATAAATTAATACAACTTATCT